GGCCCGCATGCGAGGGGCATTTCTTGCAGGAGTCGGTTCACATCCTGCCTCCGTTCTCGCTCCAGGAGGGAAGAGGCAGGTGAGTCTCTTCCAAGAGGGTTTCCGGCCACGTCTCCACGAGCGTCTGACTTCTCGTCAGGTGTGAGCACAGGTCTCTGTTGAGCCACGACGCGGCGGGAGGGACAGGGTGAATGAATGCACCAGCCTCTGGGCAGAAAACCCTCCAAATGGCAGTGCCGAGAAGGGGCGGGGGAGACGGCCAAGGCCTCTGGGAGTCCAGCAACAAATCCCCGCTCAGAAAATGAGCTGCTGTGCAGTCCCGTCCGACTCAGCAAGTCCCGACTCATCTCCAAGGACAAATGTTGCTGCATCTCAGCGGAAGCTGCGGCGCGGGGGCCTCGGTCCCCGCGGTCAACAGCCACGGGGCAGGAGGAGACTGACCACCTAGCGACAGCCCTGCGGCGAGCGTCCTGTCCGCTGCTCTCCCAGCCTGTCCTCAGGAGAGAAAGGCTTGTGTGAGGCGAAGGTGAGGCGCTGACACCACACAAACAAAACCGTGAGAACATGATTGTAAATGAAGCGCGATGGCGCCTGCTGCCCAGGGTCCCGGAGCCCACGGGAGAGCGGGCAGAAGCTCGCCTGGGGTGCACGGCGTGTAGGGGAGGGTCACGACCCAGCCCAGTTTCCCACTGTGGAGACAGGTCCCGATCCTCGCAGGACAGGCGGGTCTGGGTCCCATTTTCTACGGTGACGAGGCCAGGAAAGGCAGCAGAGGTGGCAGGCCCGGCCGCGGCGCTGGCCTGACGCAGGCGTCCCCCACCTTGCCACCCCTGCGGCCCGCAGCCCCCGTCCAGACACATCCCGCCTTCTGGCAAGAGAAGGCAGGCGGGGCTCAGGGGGCCACGTGCCGGCTCTGCTGCTCTCCCCACCTTCTCTGAGCGCCCACAGGTTGCATCGCGCCTCCCGTCTAGCGCCCCCAAGCTGCCTCCGTCATCTCGTGGAATCTCTCATTAGCCGGCCCTGGGGGCCGGGCCTCCTCTCTCCTCTGGCTTCTGGAGCCTCGGGCAGCCACCAGCCGGCAGCATCCGCGGTGACAATGGAGAGTGGGCAGCAGGATAAGCGTGTGAGAGCCAGACGGGCGCAGGCGTGGAAGGAGGGAGTCCGGAACCTGGGCTGGGGAGTGAGTCTCAGCACGCGGAGGGCTGAGAGGAGGCCAGGCCGGAGGGGAGGTCGCCCAGGGGGACTTCCCAGGCGAACGTCAGGAGGGGAGGTCAGGGCGGGCGAGGCACAGGCAGACGGGAGGAGTTGAAGCTCAGACGGTCAGGCTGGCGAGACAGCAGGCGGACGCTGGGGGAGGGTCTGCAGGCGGGGGAGCCGGGCAGTCACCCGCCCCTTCGGGCTGATAGCTCCATGGACAGCATTAAGAGCTGAGGGCGGCAAGAATGGGCAGCAGAAGTGACCACTTAGGTGGTGTCTGCACGATCCAGGTGTGACGTCCACCGCTCGGTGCTTATTCATCAGCGTGTTTCAGCCCTACCCTCCCGATGACCCATCAGGTGGCCAGGTAGACTCTGTCATCACCACTGCAGGCGGTAAAGTCACGATCCAGAGTGGGTTAAGTGGGACTTTTATTTTGCATCCTCAGAGTTTTTAAGTGGCAGAGCTGGTGGCCCATGCCACGTCCCCAGGATCGCCCTGCCCTCCCCCACCCGTCCTGTCCCTGCCCGGCCCCTCCCCTGGCTTTTTGTCAGGCAGAGTCTCGCTGCCCAGTGTGTGGGTGACGATTCCTGATGCTTGTTGGGTGGCTAGAGAAGGTGTATCCCCTTTGAGAACTTGATTCAGTCAACACAGCCTCTGGATCAAGGCAGGCTGGCCGTTGGCTCAAAGCAAATATCGCCAAAAGGCAGCCTGCACTCTGGGGCTGGAAAAACACCCCCAAACAAAACCGCGCTGAAGCAAGTTCTTGTGCACTGTTCTGAGCTCTGTCTCCGCGTGGTTCCAGCACAGCATCTCACGGCAAATCAAGGGCGGCCTCTGGCCAGGCTGGGTAACAATGGCCGGGACGCAGGATGGGGAGACAGGGGCGCGTCTCATGAACGGGGAACCTCGCCTGGAACAGGGGCAAAGCCAGGCTGAGGAAGGGCACTCTCCACGGCAGCCCCGCTCTGATGGCTCCATCCCCAGGACCCTGGGGCACATGCTCACCTCCATCCTCACACCTACACCTGGGCCAGCAGACACAGCCCCATCTCCTCCGCATCCATGACATCCCACCATCCCTTCTCTTGCGCTTGGGCCCACCTCGCCCCCAGGCTCGGGAAGCGGCCATGGCTGCCCAGGGCAGGAAGGGTCCATCTCGCCATAGGTGGGACCCAGAGCAGATCAGCCCTCAGCCTGAGATCAGCGATCACGTCCGTCAGGCACTGGCTGCGCTGTGCCCACCTGTCCCTGCTCCCAGCAGTGGGACCCAGAGGGCTGCGGGTCTTTGCAGATGGGGCCTGAGAGGCCCTAGCACTCACTCCCCCGAGAGGTCTGCCCACCTCCATGACAACAGTGCCAGCCATTCCCAGACATGGCAGTAAAACCGCTCTCCAGCCTGGCTAGACCTATAACCATCAAAGTATGCACCCAATGCCCACATCCTCGACACCGTGAGATGCCAGCACTGAGTCAGGAGATATTCCGAGGGGCCTCTGTGTCCTGCCAGAGGACCAGGGGGCTCCAGCATTAATATTTCCATATTTACCAGTAAAAACATTTTTGCACAGGTGACCCCGTGTAAGCACATTAGTTTACACATCATTTCATATGCAATTCTACTCATCGACAATATGCATTAGAAGCATAGGGAGAGGCCTTTTAAAACATGAGTATTGCAATCCTTATCCTTTCAAAAATCTTATGTGGAGCATAGCCTTTTGTTCTTGAGAGAGAGGGAGTGAATCATATATATCAATATATATATATATATGTATTCACTCCATCCATCCACCCATCCACCCATCCATCCATCCATATCCAACAGGGATTCAATGCCCTGGCTTTAATTTAGCCTGATTCAGCATTAGGCTTTAGTGGTGAGCACGACTAAATACGATAGCTGTCAAGACCACACAGCTCTACAGAGTGCCATAGGCTTGCTGAGTAAGTCACGGTTTCCATACTCATTTTTCAACTGCCTTTACCCACCACACAGGGGGCCTTTGTGTTCCGAATGTGTCATTTTGAATGTCCATTAATGGTGACGATTTCATAGACGCCTTCTTTAATACCTGAAGGCCCAGCATCGAGTTAGGATTCTGTGTGTCATGAATAATGATAACAAGTCCATAAATCAAACAGATTTACAAGTAAGCTCAATTTCTCAGTCCACTTATTGTTGGAGCTGATTAACTTGTCATTCCACCTCAGGGTGTTATCAACAGGCTTTTGCAAGGAGAGGGTAAGGGTGGTCCTGCATTTCCTGATGTTAGCTCATCTTCATTATTAATCTTACCTCCAATCAATCCAGTGTCTGGGCTACAGTGTTTGCTGTTTCCTGTTTCCTGTTTCCTTACAGTGTCTGTCAGGTCCCTTGCTGTCTGAAGTGGGCTAGTGTAATTAAAACTTGGAACACTGTGCCCACGGCCGTCACTGGCCAGTCCCAGCTACATGTGTGTAGAGGGTGAGATCACCATCTAAGCTACCTGATGCCCTCTGATTCTGACGCTGCGTTGCCGAGGGGAACTCACAGCTGTGAGCCATGTGGACTAAAGTAGGCTGCCAACGTCAGTCTGGACTCTAATTACTAACGAAGCTTGATTTCTTTCTTATTTCTGTGTTAAAACGGTCATAAATAGAAGTTCTAGTATTTGCTTTCCACATCCCAGGGGATATCCTGCACATCGCTGGGGAGAATGCAGCCCACTCTGGAGACCAGTCTTACACAAAGAAGACAATACATGATTTTGAGCAAGAAGCCCTGGCCCCAGGTCCCCACACTGCTATGTGAAAGCTGGGTACTGCCTTAACCACCTGGGTACTGCCTTAACCACTCTTGCTCTTAAGACTGGCTGTCATGGAAACAAGTCTGAGCTAGCCAGCTGAGACACAAAAGCATGGAGGGAAGAACAGCACCTCCCCGCGCAGTCCATGGCCCCAGACCGCGAGGAAGCCGCACGCCCAGCTGAAATCCCCCAAGCCTGGCCCAGTGCAGTAAAACCGCCCAGCTGAGCCCAGCCCAAATTGCCTGCCTCACCATCATGAGCTACAGCAAAAGCTGCTGTCTCAGGACACAGCTTCAGGGTAGTTTGTGAAGCATCACCAGCACCCCCAAAAGACACCTGTTGCTTGTTCTCTTAACTGGGCACATCATGAACTTGGGTTTGGGTAACATGAGGTAAGTAGCCATTGGGAGTATATATACCAATAGTTCTAGTCTGTGTTTAGATGTTTCTAGGACCATTTCATGTCTATTTACAGTGACCCTGAGATCAGCCTATCTTGAGACTATGTATGTAAAATCCCAAGTGATTCCTTGAAAACTGGAAGCATCTTTACTTTAATTCTTTACTTAAGAAGGATATGATAAATTCTCCATTTTTGAGAGATCTAGGCATAGATTTTAGGATATGTGGTTTGGGGAGGCGGCCCCTACAAATATTGAGCATCCAGCCACCTTTTTATCAGAGCTACCCAGGCAAGCTTCACTTCCGCTGAGTTCCTGTTCCTTTAAAACTGACTGACATATTTAATGGAAAAGAGCAAATCGGGAGAGAGGAGGCAGAAGGAAGTGCAGGGGGGGGGGGGGTGGGAAATTTGCATTTTCTAGTCTTCATCATTATGTGGTTTATTTCAAAAGCACTGTTTGGAGTTCCCACCTGGCAGGAAAAGTAATGAAAATCCTTTCCTCATTAATCCAAAATCACCACCTCCAACTCCTGCCAGGAAAGGATACTCGCACGCACACACACTCACACACACACACACTCACACACACACACACAGAGGCACATACTCACCCTCTCTGAAACAGATCCACATTATAAAACTTATGCAGCTCTACAGAAAACTCCACCGTTCCTTGTACTTCAGACATGGTCTTTTTGGTTCATTACCTGAAAAACAAGACAGACAACAGCTTGAGCCCTCACCAGCCAACGCACAGGCCAGGCTGCTACGGCGGCAAGCCCAGCGGTGCTGACGCAGACGAACAGAAGTGAGTGCCCAGCGGGACCACGACGTGTCCAGGGATGTCCCCACGCAGGGGGCTCTCGCAGGAAGAGACACCGAGAGTTGGATGACTCGCCGAGAGCCCCGAGCTCGCACGGAAGCCCACGGCGAGTCGACCGCCCTCCCTTGTCAGCGGGACGGAGGAGGCAGCAGTGCCCGGGCTGCGAGCTGTGCCCACCGGGCAGGAATCCTCGCTTTCCAGGTTCTACCAGTGTAAGCTGGAGCAGACACGCCCTTCTCTGTCCTCGGGTCACGCCTCTGTGACAGGAGCTCTGCCCACAGCTTGTGACTCTGGCAGATGACGGAGGAGGAAGTGGGTCTATCATGCCCAACACTCGGCGCAGCTCCAAACATGTAACAAATAAACCCAATAAACGGCAGATACCATTAATAATGATTAATGATAATAATTGAAACTAATTTTATCACTGTTCTTGGAAACGCGGTCTCCACAGAGCTCAGGGCCTGGAGGTGGGATGTGCCGCGGTCTCATTCGCTGTGATCGCAAGTGCCGCACCGAGCAGCCCTTACTGCAAATGCCGGAAACTGACATTGAGCAGCAGTTTCTTTTTTTTCTTTTTTTAGCTATTTATTTATTTATTTTTGTGGGACCCTCGCCGGTGGCCGGGGAACGAACCAGCCCAGCATTGAGCAGCAGTTTCTGACCTTGACCGGCTCGGTGTGTCAGGAGGTCAGGGTGGCACCCCCCCGGGAAGTGGGTTTCCAGCACATTTTGTGAGTCAGGCAAAGCTTTCAGCCCCTCTTGAGCCGGGGTGCAGGCTCTGGCAGGGCCCTAGGTGGGGGCAGCCCCGAAGTAAACTCCATGCCTGGGATGCCTCTGAAAAATAATGATGCCAAAGCTCCCAGATCTGGAACAGGGAGAGAGTTATGCAGCAGTTACACATTTGGGGACGGTGGCACACCCTGGGATTTCTCCTGGGCGAGACGCCTGCTGCCCCAGCTCCAGGTCAGTAGCTGGAGAGCAGCACTTCATCCCCTTTGGAGATGCAGACACAGCTCCTTGCAGGAAGCTGCTTTGTCACACCGCGTGACTCCTAATTAAACGCCCCGTTGTTCAGTGAGGAAGACGAGCTCCGCGCAGGTGTCCATGTGACACCTCACACTGCCTTTGCCGATGACCACACTTGGTCGAATTTGCAGAAGGGCAGGACGTGCAGGAACCCGCCATGGCCACGGGCCCAGCCCCTCCCCACTCCCCCAGCCGAGGGCTGGAGAATGGATTTAGAGAGACGGTTTACAGTGCGGCCCCGAGTCAGCACAGCAGCGTATTCTTGGGCCACCCAGACCCATTAACGCTGGGGACCAGGTCGGGGGAGCAGTGTCCCGGCCTCTGTTCCAGACCAGGGCCAGCGGCTCTTCGCCCAGTGACCAGCCAGGAGATGGGGGATTCCAGTCCTCACACTGCGGGCATCTGAGCGGCACCAACGCTGCCCAAGATGCCGCCCTCTCCCCAGCTGCCTGGTGTCACCTGGGCTTCAGACGTGCTCCTCCCTGCCCCCGAGTCCCTGCAATGGTCTGGTTATGCCCCTCAAATGTCACACGCTGGAGCCTGACTCCAGGGAGGCTGGGATATGAAGGCAGAACTTTGGGTAGGTGAATAGGTCACAGGGCGGGGCGCTCTTGAAAGGGAGCAGGGCCCTTCAAAAAGAGGTTCAAAGTCCCCTCCCTCTCTTCCACAGCATAAGGACACAAGGAGAAATCTGTGAGCAGGATGGGGGTGCACCCCACCATGCCGGCACCCTGGTCTCAGAATATCAGCCTCCTGGACTGCGGGACATAAACGTCTATTGATTATAGGCCTGTCTATGGCATTTTGCTACCCCAGCTGCAGCAGACTAAGACACCCCCAAATACCATCAGTTGTGAGTTCTCACAATCCTTAGCTCCTCATATCTGACCCCTTCTTTCATCTCCAAAGCCACTGCCTCATTGTCCGGGACACTCTCTTCTTGCTGGACAAATTCCTGCCTCCAGCCACAAGGTTTTAATCCTTCCGCCCCTTCTATAGCTGAGCTTGAAGTCGCTGTCCTTGGATCTCACGATATAAACCCCTTCCTGCATGCGGAGGAGGCCCGGGCACAGGTGATGCTGGGGGGAAAGGTTATCACTTACAGAAAGAGCTTCGGTCACTGGCCAGTAAACGGGCAATCTCTCATCAAAGGTAACTGTTATTACCTTTTTCTGCCTTTAACTCCGCTGGCAGAAATTCAAAAGATCCCTCATGCAATCCAGACTAAAAGCACAAGCCTCCCCTCCTGTATTGTCGAGGTTCTGGGGTCCCTTATTCATATTTTCTAAAATGTTTCAGAATGGTCCCAGTTGCCTCTGAGAAAATTTGTTAAGAATATTAAGCATATTTTGGAGAAATACCATGATTCCAATACCTCATTAGACAGTGCTTGGAAATAAATCCTTTTACAAACACATTTTCCTGTAAAGTGCAATATTCTTTTAAAACATCAGTCTTCAAAGTGTGTGGCCTTTGAAAGATTAAATGGAAAAAAAAAAGTGTGTTGATCTTAATATGCATCAGCAAGTGCTTGATGCAAAGGGCATGCAAAGTTAATTTGCTCAGAAGATTACGAAGCATAGAATTGCAACACGGGAACTGGGGCAGAGGAGGGCATGGGGGACAGGGACGGGATTTCAGCCACTCCGGGCGGAGCCGCACTTGAACCTGGACACCCTGTCAGATTGCCACCTTCCCTGGGGCCTGAGGGAAGCAGCAGAAATGTCCTCTCATCACCGTCAGCCCTTTCCTTGGGCCGTTTACTGCAGGCAGCCATTCTAATGGGGTCGGCCACTCCAGTTTGGAAAATTATCTCAACTGGAATGAAAACAGCACGTCTTCATCCCGGAGTGAGGGTCACCGCCACGGCAGGCTGTCTCGCCTTGGCAGCATCATTCACCTTAGAGTCCCAGCCTCACCTCTGTAGGGGAGCTCAGGTCAGGTAACGCCTGAGCCTCGGTGTTCACATCCGGACTATGGGCCAACACTGTTCTTTCAAAGTGGTTGCTTAGAACAATAATGGGGCGTCTTGGGAGGGAAAACCCAGCTCAGGCTGCCCCCAGACAATCAGACGACGCGACAGCTGCTGTGGTTCAACGTGTCTGACTTCCCTTCTAAAGCTCATTTTCCGCAGATGAGGCTGAACTGCAGGTTCTCCACAGACACCACGAAGCCAGACAGCAAAATAAGTGTGTGCTGACGGGTGACGCCTTGCGCGACCTGTTCCTGTACGGGGACGAGGTCAGTGCGCAGGTGATGCTGGGGTTAAAGATGATCATGGAGCAAGGAAGCTCTAATTCTTGTCTGGACAACCCAAGCCTTGCCAAGTCACGCCTGCCGTCTCCCTTCCTGCTACCCTCTAAGACCAATCTTCGCCCCCAGATTGGAGACATATTTCAGCCTTGCCTCCTGTCTTCTTGCCAGTCGGCCTTGCTGTGAGCTCTTTCTCCCTGCAAAGGCCAGGGTGCCCTAGTAACAGCTTCTGTGCACGCCGGGCAGCGGGCCTGTTGCTCACAGAGGTGTCCGTGCATCAGGACTCCAGGGTCAAGCGCAGAGAGCTGCTCAAAGCACCAAGGACGCAGGGACATGTGAATCATTGTCCTCGGGTCACTCGAAGGCGCAGACCAGGCAGGAGCTGGGGTCCGTGGGGATAAGTACCGGGACAACAGAATGAACAGAGAGTCAAGAACACCCCGTGGGGACAGCTGTGACTTGCGCCCCCGCCAGGCCAGTCCAAGGTTTGCGGAGCCCCCAGCAGCTGTTCGCCCCGGACACGGCATTCCTCCTGCTGCCTCAGTGTCCGCAACTGGACATTGGTTTGGAGCCCAGCAGAGGACAAATGTTTCAGAAGCACAAGCCAGTATGACAAGGGAGAAAGCCTAAAACACTGTAGTGGACACAGAGGAGAGACATGGTGAGCCCTCCCACGCGTGAGTTACCAAGCAGCCCCGGGTCTCTGGCTCACAGGGAGCCAAAGAAGGTCAGCAAGTGCAGCCCTGCTCAGCCTCCTGGTGTCTAGCTGCTGTCTCCTTCCTTCGGTGCAGAAACCAAGATGGCCTGTATATACTTCTTTTCTTTCCCCGCGGCTGAGGACAGTGCAGACGGAAGCACAGGAGCCAATACCAGTTCCTCAGCATCTGCTGCCCGCCCCCTCCCACCAGCGCTGGGATCCCCGTGGCCGCGCCCACCCAGAAGCTCAGCGTGTGCACCGTGGGTGGGATGCATCCTTCCTTCTGCCTGCTGAAGTGCATCACACAAGAGAACACACACGCGCACGCTGTGGGCTCACCTCTGGGATAAACAGCGCAGAGTCGACAAGGGCAGCTGCTCGGTCCTGCAAACATGGGCCCCATCCGACTATTTTAGGAACAGCTGGGTTACAGGCCACCAGTTTGAGCTTCGGGTCTCCCTTTCTGTAACCCTTCACCAGCAGCTTTTGGCAGGGATTTTTCTTTTTTTTAAGATTGACATGAATGGATATAATCTCAGTTACTTTGTGGGTGTCCAGTAACTAGACTAGCAGGCTGATATTAGAATAACTAATAATAATCAATCACAGGAGACATCACACACACAAAGATGAACTTAAATACTCAAAGAAATCCAACCTGGGGGTGCGGGTGGGGGCAGCCAGAGGACCTGGGTGGCACAGGCAGGAGCAGCTCTGCGACCTAAGGGGGGCTGGCGGTGACCAGGCCAGCAGTCAGGACCCAAGCCTGGGCAAGCGCCACCGGGCGCTCAGGCTGCAGCCAGGGGGGCGGGCTCAGAGGAAAGGTTCTGGCTTTCTAGTCCCCGGGGGGGGGGGGGGCAGACGGAGACTTCCTCCTGGGGAGGCTCCTGGCCATGGCACCTCAC